CGATAACCGTGAGAGTTTTATTTCATGTTATGATAGTTTTATACTTTCATTCAAAAACATTTTCACCAAGGTTAGATTGTTTTAAGTTATTATGAATCCAGATTTACCAATGTTTTCTTAGATTTCAAATTCCCGGCTTAAACAATATTATAAACCCAGAAATCTAACAGTGTACAACGCGTGGTAAATATTTACCCTTGAGAAATATTTACCAAAATATAGTTCAAATTTGTAGCAATATTCATATGGTACCGAGTTTAATCACATTTATAGTATTTCTGTAATTTGATTACCCGATTGTATAATTAAACTTGAACTTATATTTAATACCATAATAAAGATATATAGAATTTGGATGGAAACAAGATCCAGGTAGTCGTACATTTATATAGCACTATCACATTATTAAAGCTCTGTTACAAGTTTTTTTTCCAACAAAAGAAACTGAAAATTAATTAATGTATTCCCGAAATTTGGTTTTCCATTTTCCTGTTTATTCATTTTTGATTTTAATAAAAAAACGCTTTTATAGCAACAATAAACCTGTCCTCGAGTGTTTCATAAAACTGGCATTTAATAGTTAAAAGACGTTTGTTTATGTACTTTTTTTTACAATGAATCCATAGCTGTTAAAAAGTTTCTGCTTATTTAGAAAACGCATTTTTTTATTTGCTCTGTTAATTTTTTATTACTAAATAAAAAACAACACTCAAAATAATGCAAAGACTTTTTTTGCGAACTTAAGTTGCTCCATTAAAAAAGCCTTGTTATGAATTATTTCAGTTTTTCTCTATTGTTTTGGGGAATAATTTATTTTGATAATTGCATACCAAAAGAATGTTGTTTAATTATGCATGAAATAAGCAACAGGAGCAAGAAAAGAGGCGCAGATGCGTTTTCTTTTGTTAGAAATAAGATAAATGAGTGTTGTTGAAGCAAATAATTTGTGAATAATGCTCTTAATTGTGTTAACCTCATTCCTTAGAAAATACTCTCGGAATAATGCTTTTAGTTCTCAGATAATTTGTTTATGTTTGCTTATTTAAGGCAACTTACTGTATTTAAAAACAATCTTTCATAGAAAGATCTAATTTATTTGAGACACACAACACAGTATTTATTTTTCTGATGTTGAACAGTAAACAAACAGGTGACAAAAAAAAGTTCAATATTGAAATTTCATCAATAAATAATTAAGGTAATGTTTTTATTTGCAGCAGAAAACATAACAAATTGACTCGTTTACAATTTGTTATTCTCGCTAAAACACGAATTTTTATAAAAGTGAATATTTGTATAGACTGATCATTAAATATACAAGGTGCTTCGCAGAGATCACCCTTAATGTATATTTTTAACATCCTTACGCAAAATGATATAAAAAATGAGTTGGGAGTTGCAAATTTATATTTAAGCGAGAAAAAAAACAAAAATGCTATCGAAATGAAACAAACCACAGTACAGAAATGCGTATTTAATAAACAGCAAGACATATTTTATTTCAACAGGAAAAGATGAGTTAAAAAACAGTTATTGTAGACACCTCATAAATTTCAACTCCAATTAAACGTGTTTCGATATTTATTACACACGCTTCCTTTACTGTAATGTGCCAGGTTCCGTTGGAGTTTTTTTTTTCCTATTCCAGCGTGCTATTGATTGTTTTGGATAAGGATTACTAAAAATACTTATTAAGGGTGGTCTTTAGGAGTCATCCTGTAAATTTTAAAAATATTTTAGGAAAATGAAGTTAAAAATTATGCGCTTTAAGTGGTGGAAATAAATATTCAAGTGATTAAAAAAACTCACTGGCAACATTCATCTAATTCTAGTCTATAAGCGTGGTAAGAAGAGCATCAAAACCAGTTTCATTGACTGTGAAATCTTGGAAAAGTTTCTAGTAATTTTTTTTTTATAGATGCTTTTAGTCCCACCTTATTTATTTGTGCTTGTGAGATTTCAATAATATTATTTTCCCAGCTCGAATATTAATTCATGATCGCTTATGTGTGTGCTTGTTTTATTCCATTTTTGTCCAGGATTCTAAAAATATATATAAAGAGAAGTTATCCTGAAATACCTTGTATAAAATAAATAATTAATAATATAATAGATTTTTATAAGCAGAAAAAGTTTCTCTATTCTGAAAGAGTTTGCATATATTTTTGATTACGTAATATGAAATGAAATTCCCTAACAGAATTTTTAATTACATTTTTTTACTGTAACTTAATCTTGCTCGCACGTTATATTTCATTTATACTTTGGATTTTGCTTTTTACCTCATATCTTATTTGTACTTTACATCTTGTTTGTATCTTTAGTAGTATCTTGAGTCTTGCATCGCTTTAATACACATTTATTCGATGGTCTTGCTTGCGAAGTTTCCGGAAATAAAATACAAAATTTCTTTTGCGAAGTTAATTAGATTTTCATTTAATTTCCCATTAAGTATAGTAAGTAAATATAGAAAATATTATGATATTTTAGGGTGAAAAAATGAATTAGAAATAGTTAAAAATTTAAAGTATAAGATAGGGCATAAGAAAATCGCAGTTCAAACACTCCAGTTGAATAGAAAATAAACATAAATTACGAATATTTTATTTCATAAAAAATGTGTCAAAACTATGACTAATCTTAAGCATGAAGCATATAAGAAAGCTGGAGAATCCGATACCTAACCAATTTTACAATAGAAGCCTAAATTACTTCCTTTCTAATCTCATGGGAAATGAATTTGAAAGCTATATACATTGAAACTTGAAATAAAAGTCAATTTAAACGATTGACATAAACGTTTGATAAACATAATTGACATAAAAATACATCTAGTTTAACTAATAGGAATTTTATAAATGATTTTGTCATTACGCTGTGAAAAACTTTGCATCGATGGTATTAGAAACTGAAGTTTCGATATTAATTTATTGAATGTTTAAAACGATTGCAATTTTTATGGTTATTTTGATGATATTTTTATATGTTTTATATGTGTTGATACATTAAAAGGCCATGTTATAAAATATGAAGTTGATACATTTGAAGACCATTAAAGAATAAGTTGATAGTGTAAAGATATGTTTAAAAATTTAAAAATGTTTATTTGATTTTAAATTCAACATTTATCAATGCTCTTCTTAACAAATCTTCCAATTTAGAGTTCTTAAAGTTTGACCTTCAAATGAACAAGTTTTTTCTTATTGATATATTTACATATTATGTTAGTGACAGATGTATTTTTACTTTAAAACTTGTACTATTAATACGGATAGTTACATTTTTTAAACACTGTATGAGTCTAAGTTGCATTTTTGCAAAATAAGAGGGGACTTTAGAGCATATTATAAGGATTAAAAATTGCATAGCAACTGATAATTAGAAATGACCTCGTCCACCAAAAAATACCGGCAATCAGGATGCCGGTACTTTTTACCACAAAATCCGGTTTCACCGGAACATGTTACGGAACTAAAACTCTTATACGCCGTAATTTTTACAGGGACAATTACCTTAAAATCACTGAATCTTTCTTGTTAAATAAACATTAATCTGAAAATTACGGTAGATTATTTCACAGTGAAAATGGGTTTTAAGGTAAAATGAATTTTACAAATGATACATTCAAAGTTCCGGTAGGGGAGAGTGGGGTCAATTGTAACAGGGTACGATTGTAACAGAGAAACAATTTCGAGTGTCGGGTTCTAGATTTGGTTCCTAGGTGGCACACAAGGTGCATTTCATAAATCTACATGTACAAATCTGGCAACCATTTTTATGTACATTTGAAAGAGTTACATCACAAACGATATTTTCACGCTAGGTAAGTACTTTTTTGGTATTCGAATATTATATTGTAACAAAGTAATTTTGTTTAAATAAATAAAAATTATTAACCGAATATGTAAGTGGACACCTTAATTAACATTTCAGAAAAAAGTATTAGTTTTGTTAATTAACTAGCATTGTTTTTAACAAATGAAGCTGAAATGGCGTCTTGGGGACGATTGTAACANTCTTATTGATATATTTACATATTATGTTAGTGACAGATGTATTTTTACTTTAAAACTTGTACTATTAATATGGATAGTTACGTTTTTTAGAAACTGTATGAGTCTAAGTTGCATTTTTGTAAAATAAGAGGGGACTTTAGAGCATATTATAAAGATTGAGAATTACATAGCAACCCATAATTAGAAATGACCTCGTGCACCAAAAAATACCGGCATTCAGGATGCTACTTTTTACTACAAAATCCAATTTTACCAGAACATGTTACGGAACAAAAAATCTGATGCACCTTAATTTTTACTGTAACAATTACAGTAAAATCACTGAATCTCTCTTGTTAAATAAACATTAATGTGAAAATTCCGGATTATTACACAGTGAAAAAGGGTTTTACGGTAAAATGGATTTTACAAATGATACATCCAAAGTTCCTGTACTTTAAGCCATAATTTGATCTGGAATTCTTCATAGTCTAAAAGCTTACAATAAATGCAATTGCAAATCATTTCTTTTGTTACATATTTTACTTATTTGAAGGAAATGCAACAATGTATTTCTCTATTACTCCTTTTAATCTATTTATGCGTGCGTATATTTTCAAGAAAAAATTTTGTATCCCAAACAATAACATGTCAAAAATATATCAATATTAATTCTTATTAATAACTTCTTGAAAAATCTCCTTAACTACATTTAATGGAAATATTTTAATTCTAAATATACAACACCTCAGTACTCTTTTAATATTTATATCAATATTAATTCTTATTAAAAACTTCTTGAAAAATCTCCTTAACTGCATTTAATGGAAATATTTTAATTCTAAATATACAACACCTTAGTACTCTTTTAATATTTAACTCTTTCACTTAAAGATAAAAATATTCGTTTAATCAGATTTAAATATTGTTACTTTTTCCTATAAAAAAAGAATTGTTTACGACACGAGCTCTTTTTACTCTCGAGATTTCTATCTCATTATCTGATGCAATCTGATAATTCTGTAAACACTTCAATCATAAGTTGAATTCTTTCGTAGAAGTCAACAATTATTACTGTTAAAACGAACCAATAGTTTCTCATTTTGCACACGTATTGCTGATGATAAGAGAGTTCTGTTTTATACTTTTGCACACGGTGACTTCTGACACCGAGTGCATTTTTGCACTCAGCCCTTGTTTCGGAATGCAAAAATGGTATAAGTATCTCATTAACCTTGATTCACTTATCATTACAAGTATCTAGAGAAGAAAAACATTGTCGTCTATCTGAAATTTCTTATCGGTGAGTGAACTTTCTCTTATTATAACAGTTTGAAGTTGTTTGCTTATTTGATTAAAATCTAAATTAAATCTATTATAAATCAATCGTAATTTAAGTACTTTTTTTCTACGTCTCAAATATTTCATTAAATCTCAATTTTAATGGAATTTTGCATGATAAATATGTTTTATATTCAAAAAATAAAAATAATACTTATTAATACAAAAACTTTAAAAATATTTTTTTTAAAACAAGATCATAATTTTTTAGAATTTTTGTAAAAACTTCAAACATTTTTGGAGAACCATATAATGAAAAAAATACATACGATAAAAAAATATGTAATTGATAAATAAAAAAAATTTGTAATAAAATTTCTCTCTGAAGAAACAAAATATGCTCAAAAAACCAGAATATGGTAAAATTTACCGCTCTATGGGAGCACCAAAACGCTCTATAATTTTATACAGAATTACTTTGGTAATAATTTTAGCAAAATAATCAATAAAATTTGGTTTTGTAACATGTTATAAAATTTGGTAAATGTAGCAAAATTTGGTAATTTTATCATGATAACTTAAAATATAGCACAAAAACCATTTATTCTATTAAGCTTTTTTCCAGCTGCATATTTTTTACTAAATGTTAATTTTCGTAACCAGATTATCCAGTAAATCATTATTATATGAACGATAAAATTACAAAATAAGTGATTTAAAACCATAGATCTTACTGCCATATTTTGGGTTTTATTAACAGAATTACAATTTTTTTGCTAGAAATGTCATTACAGTGCGGTAACTTAACCAGAATTTTTTCTTCGTGTAGAATGCTTTAATTTAATAGGTTATACAGAAAAATAATTATTCTGTTAAATATTTAATTTTTCCTAAGTTGACATCCCTATGATAAAATATATCTCTATAAATGAAATGAAGCTATCTAAACCAATTATGGTGCAAAATTTATGTCACTTAAAAAACTTAGTGAAAGAATATGTTAAGTGATACTTTCATGACTTTTAAAAACAAAATTGAATGGCATATTGGAAAATGGTTTTCAATTGAGAATTAATTTCCTATTTAAAACTCAGTGTAACATTCTGATAAATTCGGAAATTATTCTTCGTAATATTTTTCTAAGTTGATTTTTTTCATTTGCTTGCAATAATTTTATTTCGTTTATGATATTAACTGCACCTATCTTAACCTATAATTCTTATAATTCAATTTTAAAACATTTTAATAGCCTGGCTAAAACATTTTAATAGCCAAAGCATTGTTAAGTGATATTTTCACGAGTTTGTGAGAAAAACAACTTTGCATATTGGAATGCTAAAAGAAAATTTCCAATTGTAAACTCTCTTAATCAATACAATTAATTGATGATCCATATTTATTACCGAATGTAACATTCTGATTAATTGATAAATTCGGAAACTTGAAAGTTTTAAATTTTCTCTTAAAAACTTTTTGTTTTGCTTAAAATAGATTTTAATTATAAAAAACAAAATAGCTTTTTCAAACATTGCATGAATTGCTCATGGGTTTTTTTCAAATAAAATTTAAATACTTTTCTTGACTATAATTTTATTTCTTAACTTCTTTAATTAAACTAATATTTTACGTATAATAATTTTAATTAAACTAATATTTCTATATTATTTACCTTATTTTATCAGCTTAGGTAATATACATAAATACTAGTAATAACTTATTTATCAAATGCGTGTATCAAAGATAAGACAAAGAATTAGAACATTAAAAAATAGTAATTTTGCTTTTTGAAAAACTTCGAAATAATATAGTTATAAACGTGCATAAACAAGCATTTTATAATTCAAATTCTTAGGTGTTGTTTCTATTTTTTAATCGTGGGCAAAAAAATATTTTTTTGCTGAATCTGTTTCTCTTGTTAAAAGAAAATACTTTTTAATATGTATAAGGAAATGTCTAGAAATTGTATATGAAACATTCTTTTTCATTTGAAAATTCTCTCTTTTAATAAACATGTTCGAAATTTGCAACTAAAAGTAATATGTTCATAAATTCAGAAACAATGATGTTTTGATGTTTTCATACAGCATTTACTAAGTTTTTCAGTTGTTTACTTTGATTTACTTTGTTTATAATGGATTTTAACGTGTAAAAACAATATAAATATTCTAAAAGTTACAAGTAGGATTCAGTATTATTTTCATTTCTTGAACAAAATTTTTAACTATTATATTATCAATACTTTTTACCGTAGTTTGCTCCATTTTTACTAAATCTGAACATATATTACTTAAATAATTACTTGTAATTTAAATTTGTATTAAAAGCGCGTTTCAGAAGGGTGTAGATAACTGTTTTATAGAAAATATGAAGTAATGTGTGTATGTTAGTATTTAGTAATATGTTAGTATAATGCTGTGCTGATAAAAAATAAATGTTTAATGTCCTTAGAAAAGGTAAAAAATAGTTTTAAGCAAAAATTTTATTACTCAAAAGTATTTGTGATTCTATTTTTCTTTTTCTTAAACAATGTATATATTTTTATAAACTGAATTACTTTCTTTTGTTCAAAATTATAAAAAAAATCATGTTAATGCTTATATACAAAAATATATTCAATTAATAGCAATAATTGAGGGGAAATAGTTTAGGGAACAGATATATGAGTTGTTTCAAGCTTATACAGAAATTCATTCAAATGAAAAGTAAATATATTTTTAACTGCTGTATAGATTTTCTCTAACAAAAAAAAGCTAATAGAAATTTAAAAAGAAATACTTAAATAAGTAAAAATAAATAATGCTTTAAGATTTAAAAAAAATCTTAAAACTAGCCTGGACGTTTTTATTGATGTTGAATAAGCACTTCTGAATCAATAACTGAATTTTCTATTTCAATTTTTTTTAATTTTAAGCTTAAATAAAATCTTAGTTATTTTCCTAGATAAGACACAAAAATAGGTTGTTTAAATTTTTTCTTTTGAGGTTGATAAATAAAATTGGACGATAGACTTTTTAAATCTCAAAGAGGAACTTTTTTATTTTTAATATTTTACTATAATTATTAAAGCTTCAAGAAAATGTGCGGAGATTATAAAGATTTTAAAGATTATTAAGGAATTACTTAATAAAATCACTTAATTACATGTAATTAAAAATGTCCCTTGCACGAGATTTTTTTCACAAATAAAATTTAGAGCTAATGTTACATGAACGAAATTTTTTATTTACAATTTGAAACATTGTATAAAAGTGCGCCCACTTGAAAAAATCTTTTTAAAAAAATATGTTATTTTTCATCCACATAAACATGTATTCTTTAATACATTTAAAGTAATATTTTTGTTCCGAAACTTATTTGTGACTGAGGTTTGAAAAATACAATTTATTTTTCAAAAATTTGTAGCGCAACGAGCTTTTTTAATTAGGTGTAATTATTTACTATCTTTGTCATTTTTTTAATATTTATCTTTTGAAAGTTGGTATAGTTTATATTCAAAGATGCCACACAAAAAATTCTGTTTCTAGCATTAAAACTGAGAATAATATTTCCTGTTCTCTTAACATTCACAAATATTATTTTCGAAATTTATATTTGATCAAAACTTTATTTTTGATAAAGGTCCTTGGAATTACTCAGATTCCAAGAAAAAACTTCAACTTTTTTAATTTAAAACTCTTTGAATTTATTTCTTTATTTTTTTCCTTAAAAAATCTACATCGTTTAATATTATAGTTTAAACTATAACACAATTTTTATTTTGGTGAAAATTTTTCGTTGATTATTTTAGTATAATCAATTTAGATATTCATTTGATTTTTTAAAACTATTTTGTACCTCTAAATCTTTTAACATTTAGGACATTTATTTTACATCGTGATTTCACTTTAATAAGACAAAGGAATAACGAAATAGAGAAATATTTAAACAAATACTAAAGCGAGGAAAAATGAACAATTTGAATGAATAAAATCGTGTATTTCTAAACTCTTAAAATTTTTGAAGATTCCCACAAAATCGAAATTATTAGCTTAAAAAAAATAATTTCGGCACCCTTCTATCTTGCTGCCGAATTGAACAAGGCCTGACCCTTGATTTACGATTGCCCCTATGTCTATAAGTACATATTTACCCTTACTTACTGTTTTGGTTGCTTTTTGTCATTTTGAATTAATAATTGAATATTTGTCTTCTTAAAATATGTTTTATTAATACTTTTTAATTTTTTTTCTATTTTAAATAATAAAAGAAATATTTCAAGCTTTTACTTAGTTATTTTGAGTTTTAAGAGTATGAAACAATGCAAATTTTTTTGTTATTTTTATTAGCAGATTAAATGTGCGTTAAACATTTAAATGACAGCAGATATACTTTTCTGAAAGTGTGATGTCCTTGTCTCATTTTAAATTTTATTTTCGATTTAACAGGATTCACTATTGATCAAGACAATGTTTTAATATATTTTAAACCTAGAAAAAATTTTCACCAACCTTATATTTCAATTCCATTTATGTAAATATTTTTTGAGTGAACAGAAATATTATTTAAAAGTTAGAAATTTTTTATAAATTAGCCAAAGTAGCTAAAAATTAAGTCACTTCCATATTACTTAATTTATATTTGCATGCAAATCTTATCTTGTTTTTTTTTATCTCTCATTATAGTTACTCTCCTTTAAATCTTAAAAACATGCCTTGTGGATCCTGCGGACCAAATTGCACCTGCGAAAAATGCCGATGCTGTGGAGCAGGACAGTCAAAGTGTAGTACCGGATGCACCTGCAGTAACTGTAAATGCTGCAATAAAGCACGCAATTGCCGTTGTGGTGATTGCAAATGCTGCGGAGCGTCATCATGCTGAAATTCTCTTTCTGTTTGATTTCAAATATTTTCTCGCTGAATGTTAATTATTTTATCTATTAATCTGGAATTATTTTACACTTCGTAAAATTTCTTGTTTTATTTTCGCTGATGATGTTTGAAATCAACGTGTAATTTTATTTTTATTTAAGTATATAGTTTGTGTAAACCTTTCAAAAAACGAGCAAAACATTGGTTTATTTTATGTTAAGAAAATCGTGTGTTTTAAATTTTTGAAAATTTGCATATTTTTTAAACTCATAGTAAAAATATTACATGTTAAAATTATGAATTTTATATCAATGTAACACATTTTTCTTATTTAATAAAATTTATAAAAACCATAAAATGTATCTCAATTCTATTTACTGCTTATTTTTTAGTTTCATTTCAAAATTGCTCATAGCATCATTATTTGAATAAATATGTTATTAGAATAAATGTTGTAAAATGCGACTGTTTAAAAAGAGTCTTAAGCGAATGGTAATGAAATGCATTAATGAAGTTCTAAGTGATTATTGACCAGTTTTCAGACAGTTATTTTAACAAAAGCAAATTTCAATTTAAAAATATTTTTACAGATAGAATAAGAGCAAAACAGATTTTATTTTAGAACAAATTTATCAGAATCTTTCGTAACATCAAAAAAAAATTTAGAGTGACCCAATTCAAGTAGACGGTTTATTTTTATATTTTTTATTCATTGTGCAGATAATAATGTTATCTCTCTATATATATTTTTAAAAAATAATTGTAGTCTTACCATTTCATGAATAGAAAAATCTAATAATATGGTCATTACTAAACAAAGACGATCTGTGGCTAAAACCAGCATAAAAGCCATTTTACTTTTATGAATTTTTACCATAAGTAATTTATTTATCCCTTGTTCAACAGTATTTACTAGGAATATTTCATTATCATCCCTTTCTAGTAGATAGAAAAAGCATTCACAGAACAGCCCACTGTGGCTAGAGGGATGAGGCAGATAAAGGCTTTAGAATTTTGAGACGTGTGTTGGTTCAAGCCATCACAGGGAATCGAATCCCAGCACTTCACAATGTCAGCTCAGTTACTTTACCTATTTAGCTTTCACAGTTCTATAGTCAGCAATTATAATCTCCGTAATTATTATAATTTTTGTTTTAATTATTGTTTGAAATGAAAAGCTTAGAATTGCAAATGTTCCTCATTTTAACATAAACTAATTGCATTATATTACCTGAACATGCAGCATATTATGATAAAGCATATTGTGATAACATGCAGCATATGATAAAGATGTTAAGTTACTGTTTTACAATTATTACTCTGTAAATAAGTTGTATTTACGTTTCAGTTAAATTTTTAAATAAAGCTTTTTTCAGTCAACCAATGCAAATTTAAAAGGGAAAAAAACATTCCGACTTTAAAATGACTAGTTTAACTAAATAATCTTCTTTAAAAATTCTAAATTACTCTTGTCCTCATAAAAATTTGTACTTTTCTTATTTCTAAGCAACTGCCTTGCGCTATTTTATAAAAATGATTCAAAAATCAGGTAAATTTTTCTATTAAATTTTGTGGATGCTCCTCTTGCAATTATAATATTGCTATTTCGTAATTAAAAATCTTTAAAAACCTGGAAAAAAAGGCATTAAAAGTAAACCAATTGCGAAATTCGTTAGCAGAAATCGATAAAAAAAAACAGGCGATCCAATATCTTTTCAATACATTGCAACAGCTTTAAGAGATCTTTTTTCATAACTATCCAATGAATATAAATGTACACTCTCAGAAGATTCGGTTCATTAGACGTTAGATTAGATATAATAGATTATATATATAGATTAGGTAACAAAGCGTTAGATTTAATTGTTTTTGCATTCTAGTTGAACTGTAGTTTTGAGTAATCGAGTTAACCCTTTCAAGACTAATTTTTCATTTTCCAATAACAGGACAAATTACGACTTTAATAGATCAAATAAGATTTTTAAAAAAATAATAATTTTCTGGCAAAATAAAATAAAAAAGTAACTATTTGGGCAATTGTGGGAACGGGACATATATGTCCTACTGGGTTTCTAAGACGGGACACATATGTTCCAGTGGAATTTTTTAAGTTGAAAATATGTCCAGGTGGGATCGAAAGGATTAAAAACGGCTAATTTTTACGATAATATGTTAAAAATTGGAATCTTATTTAGATTGTAGCAAACTTAAGAGACACCACGGTTTAGGAGACTTCAAACTTTTAAGCAGTATAGCATCATTTGAAGACAGCTCTGGTTATATTTGTGTAATATATCATCAATTACAACTAATTTCAAAAATTTAATTAATAACTTTATGGTATCAAGTAAATAAAAAAATAAAAGAATATTTTTTTAAACAGCGTACAAACATTTCCTTAAAAATCAATTGGATATTTTATGCAAGCAAAGTCTTCGTTGCTCTTGTTTTATTTCGAACTATTTAATGATTCGCTAAAGTTTAATACCCTGAACATGAAAGGACAGGAATGGAAGTATTTGGAGCTGAATGCTCTTCTCAAATACAACAGATACTCAATTTTAATCTCGAGGGATCATGAACAAAAGGTTCACCCGTATAATCCTTATTAGATGCCAGACTCTTAATGTTGTCCCGATGCAAGGATTATACGTAACGTTATCTATGCATTATTCACTAGGAAATTTTCGACAGTCTTCAGAATAATTACCCATCCACCAGAGATTATAAGACCATAATTTTCACTCCCCTCATTGGTTAGCCGCTTCTGCCAGTGCACGACCTTTGAAGAATTGCAACGTATAATTGTGCTTGTATTTGAGGATTAAAAATGGAAGCATGTAGAAAAATTTAATTATTCCACTTTAATATGATAGAATGCGAAAATTAATTTTTTAAGCAATGTTCATTCCAGAAAATAAATATATTATAATTATTACTATGGAAGATGCCAATGATATTTACATTAGTACAAATGATTGATTTTTTGCTTAACTGGAGTTAGAATTTTTTCTTTAAAGAAATGAAAACTGGCAACAAACCACTCTGTGTCAAACTAAAGTATAAATCGGGAAATCAACATAAAAATTGCAAAAATCGGTATCATTACAAAATTTACAAAAAAAATATTACCACATTTTTGTTACACAATAAATCTAAATTTAGTATCTCTTAATATTTTTAATTGCATTTTTTCACATGGTCCTTGCATTGAGAAAAAAAGTATGATCGAAAGATCCAGAATATGGTAAATTTTACCGTATTTCTGTCTCTATGGGAACACCAAATAACTCGGTATTTTTTAAAGAAGTGCTTTGGTAAAATTAACAATAAAATATGGTTTTATCATATGTGATAGCATACGGTAAAATGTGGTAATTTTATCATGATACCTTAGAGCGTGGCATAGAAACCATTTATTTACTTTTCAGTTTTGTACTTTTTACTAAGCGTGTGGTAGTAATTTTGAAAACCAGAATCCGGTAAACCGTTACCATATGAAAAGGATTGCCAACTGAATGGTTTATGTACCATATATTTTTATTCTTTTAACTAGCAGTATATTTTTTTTCTAATCTGAAATATTCCCACACAATACGGTAATCTTAATTAATCTCAATCTTAATTAACCAGAATCATGGTGTCTTTTACTAAACATGCCATTACCATAGAGTACAGTAATTTCAGATTTTTTTCTACATGTGTATATTAAGAATCGACATCAGTAATTTTATCTATATTATAATGTATTAAATATTTTGAAGATATGATTTTCAAAATGTCGGTATTAGGTATTACACGGAGAAAAAAATTCTAGTTAAATTACCATAGTCTATGGTAATAACATTTCTAGCAAAAAAAAAACAAAATTGTGGTAAAAAAATATATGGAATTTAAACCATTTATTTAGTAATTTTTTGTTCAGACATGTTCTTATTACCTCACAATTAGTAAATATACTAAACTAGAAAGTAAGTTGAGACGAATAAATGGTTTTTCATCCCATGATCTAAGGCTGTAGTTCCCCAATGTTGCTCAGCGGAACCCTAGGGTTCCGCGTACGAGGTAAACGGGTTCCAAGAGTTAGGAAGTTTTTTCAATTCCCTTAACATTTTCTAAACACATAATTATATTTTAATCCAATCAATAGCCCATTATTTACTTAATAATTTGGTTGCTTTTACAATATTATTTAAAATAAAATGCGCATTTTTTTGGAAAAAAATACACAATTTTTCAAATAACATTGTATTAAATAAATTATGAAAAGGACATGCATTCATAAAATAATACATTCATACTTCCTATCACGCTTTTCAAACCAAAATAAAGCAACTAGATTGAAATAAAATAAGGAAATATGTTTCCCTACTATAAATTTTCAACATTTGCAGCAGCTCTTTTTAGTTTTCATTACGACGAAAACCATAATTCCGATAATTTCATTCATTTTTAACTTATATTTAAACACCAAAAATAAATTCACAACAAAACTAGATTCAACCCTTGGATTATGACTTCTACTGTCGGATAAGAAAACTAATTTTAGATTATTAATGATAAAACGATGAAAAAATATCATATTCTTCGAATTAAATATTTTCAAACTAAAGCAGTTGCTTTTAGATTAATGCGTTTATTGTCTTTATATAAAGTCGGGGTTCCGTCAAAAGAATGTTGATCATTTAAGGTTACGTAGCCGGAAAAAAATGGGAACTGCTGCGAACTGCTAAGGTATTATTACGAAATTACCAAATTTTACCATATTTACCAAATTTTAACACAGGTAGCAAAATGATATTTCACAGTTAATTTTCCCAAAATTATTACTAAAGTGCATCGGTAAAAATTACCAAAGTTTTTGGTGTTTCCATAGAGCCAGAAACACGGTAAATTTTACCATATTTATTCTGGTAGTTCTGACCATACTTTTTTTCTCAGTGTACAAATCTACAGCAAACACTTAATACAAAATGCCAAATCAATCTTCAATAATCAATCAGAATTAAATTTTCGCGCACTATACAGGGTGTTCTAAAAATCTCTCTCAATATACATTTTAAAAAACCTTAGCAAGCTATTAAAACAAAAAAGTATAAACATCGAATTATTATTAAAGCAGGGATAAACAAAAATCGTATCAAAGTCTGACAAATCATAGTAGATATTAATGAAAGTAATTAGCGCAAAAATAGCTTTAGTTTGAGGTTGAAACTTAAAGATGTTTACAATAATCATTCTTTCCTTTCTTCTTTCCTTCCAACAATCAAACCTGTTTTGTTGTTCATTACACTCGCCTTCCTGTATAGTCAGATTTTCATGCAATTCATATTTTTAATCGGTTGGATGATATTTAAT